TATTATAGACAAGGGACAATTTCATATTTGGGATGAGGAAACATTAATCACACACCAAGACATACAACATTCTTTGGACATGATGTCAGCCTATAGAACTAATAAACCACGGGGAGTTCAAATTCTAGGACATTTCCAATGGCTCTGTTGTAATACTAAGCTTATGTACTATGATCATATCGTGAGAAAAAACATACTACTAGATTGCACAGATAATTTTCTATTGTTGAATAGTGTCATTAACATTACAAAGGGCAATATTTCTATTCTCACATGGACACCAAATGTCTTATCAGAACACATCATTCCAAATATTAACTATACACATATTAAAAACATCATAATCCCACATGCCCTAGACACTGATCAGGAATTAGCCCTAAATCATTTACAAAACGAAACTGATCATTTAGTTAAACATATGGCCAAAGATCTCAAAAAGGCTAAAATTCTTAATCATATTTTGGGTACTAAGTACTTTTCAGATGTAACTACACAACTCTCTGACTGTGACTGGGCAACTGCCTGGAAAAAATTGTTCTTCCCACACAAATATACCTGTAATGGTAATATTGGCAGCTTGCTTAAATCTCTGTTAATTCAAAGTAAAACTAGTTTTTGGAAATTTTTCTCTAACCTTGGTCATTGGATGTTCACCTCTCTACTTCACATACTTGTTACTATATGTTTATCATTCCACCTGTATTCTTGTGTAAACAATTATTGTTAAGATGTTTTGGTTCCCAGAAGCATTCTTGAGCCGTTGTGCTCCCTGCAACCAGGGGGTGGATATGATGAAAGCACCATAAAACTTCCTTGCAAGACGTTGAACTACCTTACAAGACATTGAACTGCCTTGTAAGACATTGAGCCACATCAAAGCAACAAACACAAGAAACTCCACTTTAAAGAAATAATAAAATGTAATATTGGGGCCCAGGCCAACACTTACATCAAAGAAGCCACCACAAAAATGTGAGACCCCTGATAAGACTGAGCTGAGACCTGCCTGACGCCCAAAAGCTAGCCAAGTCACCTAAATCATGGAAAGACCTGATAAGACTGGGCTGAGACCTGACCGAAGCCCAAAAACTAGCCAAGCCACCTAAAGTGTGGAGAGACCCGATATGACTTGACTGGGACAGTGAGAACGTCAAAGAACTGGCCAAAATGTCCATTTAAACCCAGCTAGAGACACTGACTTTTAGAGAGCTAGGAACCAAAGAGACATCAACTCCTGCTCTCTCCAACTCTACCCGGGGTGAGTACACTGATGAGCCAATACTGATTGGGACTATGGTGCTAGTATGAAATGTGTGAGGAGTGTTGTTATTTTGCCTTTATGATCATAGTTGTTATTCTGCCCTTGTGCTTATAGTTGTTTGCCCTTAGTAGTTTGAGTAATATTTTAGATTGTTTGGTATGTGTTTGCAGTGAATAAACTGAGCATTCGAAAATGTCTAAGAGCGTTAAGTAATTAATGATCGCGCCACTGATGACACCTACTTCCATTTCTATTTCTTTATTCAATCCTTCCAAACCATGTGTCAGAAAGCGGCCTGGATGGTGAAAATAACCTGTAAGTTGTTCATCCAGTAAGAACGACCTTGGCCTCACTCTGATATAACTTAACTTCATCTGGTGTCACTAAACAACCAATTCCTCTAGAAGGAAACTCAACAATGCAGGCAGAACTGGCATAACTGGCCCTTCTTAATTTTTGTGCTCTTCCAAAGGAACATTAATTTTATTATTATTTTTTAACATTTTATTAGGGGCTCATATAACTGTTATCCCAATCCATACACACATCAGTTGTGTAAAGCGCATTTGTACATCATTTCTCAAAACATTTTCTCTCCACTTAAACCCCCAACATTAGGTCCTCATTTTTCCCCTCCCTCCCCGCTCCCCCCTCCCTCATAAGCCCTTGATAGTTTATAAATGGGTATTTTGTCATATCTTGCCCTGTCC